CGCTCGTGGTTCCCTTGGCATCGCTCGGACGTGTGCATTGTTCTCTCGGCGAGGACCATCGAGGAGCATCCTTGATCACTTGGCGAAAGAGCCACTTGGCGAAAGGGTCATCGAGGATCATCCTTGATCCTTGATCCTTGATCCTTGATCACTTGGCGAAAGAACCACGCACGAAACCGAAAAAAGCACAGGGAATGGACGTCCGAGCGATGGCCAGTTCCCGGAGCCACCACGGATCGGTGCCCCCGTCGTTGCCCTCGCCGGCGATCCGAGGTTGGTCGCGCGGGCCGCGTGCGACCGCCAGGCCCCCGAGTTTTCGGGCGAGGGAGCAGATGACGGTTCTCCACCACATCACCCAGTCGAGGAGGCCTTGCCGTGTGCCCCAGCAGCATCCCTCGAGTATCTAGCGGCGAAGGGTTTCAAACGCATGGCCGTCCTAGCCCAACCCACCAGAGAGCGAAGAGAGAGTGGTAGGAGTAGTAGTGTAGTGCCTGCCCCCGTTCACCGCGGTGCTCCCACCCCGTGAGACAGACCGCGGACCCCCCCCACCGGCACTCCACCGTGGCTGCGATCGACATCAATTCGCCGATGGTCGGTGCGCAGGCCCACGCCCGCAGGCTCCACCACCGTGAGCACGGCGACCATCTCCGGCGACGCAGCCACCACGTCGACAAGGAGGGCGGAGGAGGAGGAGGAGGAGGAGGAGGAGGAGGAGGAGGAGGAGGAGGAGGAGGAGGAGGAGGAGGAGTGGTAGCAGGAGGGAGGGGGAGGAGAAGAGGGGGGAGGAGGAGGGAGGAGGCGGGAGGAGGAGGGAGGCGAAGGAGGGAGGGCGGTGGGCGAGGAGGGAGGGGAGGGGGGGGGTCCCAGGTGGACGCAGTGCCCCCGCCGCCCCCGCCGCCCCCGCCGCCGCCCGCCGCGGTGGAGCAGTCGCGGGAGGCCCCTCCCCGCTTCGCCATAAGGGATGGATCGGGACGAGGGACTTTTCCGCATGGTTAAGTCGGGCCTGTCCCCCTACAGGGGCGTTTTCGACGAAAAATATACAAAATGCTCCAAACATAGTCCAGCGATAGTCCAGAAATGGCCTGGGGATTATTTTTGGAGTATTTCTGGACCTTTTTGGGGTGTTTTTGGGGGTAGTTTTCATTTTTTGTAGAAAATCCCCCTGTAGGGGGACAGGCCCGACTTAAGCGTACGGTTGTGCTCGCTTTCGCCACGAGAGCGGTCTTCGGTGGTCTGCTGTCTTCCGCGGATGCCGGCAGTTTTCGGACCAGTTGGGGGCCTCGGGGATGGCTTGCCTCGGCCGCGCCCGATCGCGAGCGTTCCGGGGATGCCGGGACCGTCGCAGGCGGCCGCTCGAGGTCCGAGTTGTGGTTGGTGCACGGGGCCCCTAGAGGTGGGAGTCGCAGACATTTATTCAATCGCTTCGCTCACTCCGCCGGCCCGTATTGCATGATCGCTACTGCTTCGGCGCGGGTTCGGGGCCATTTCGGCGCCGCCGGAAGGAGGAAGATGAGGATGGATGAGGAGGGGGAGGGGAGGAGGAGAAGAGGATGAAAAGGAACGGAGGAGGATGAAGATAATTATGAGGAGGAGGAAGAGAAAAGGGCGGAGGAGGAAGCCTCTCGATGGCATCTTGCGGCGCTCTTGGGGCCAAACAGGGCCGTCGTCCAGATGCTTCTTTGGGAGGCCCTGGGGTCTGTTGAGAGGCCGTTCGGGGGCGCCTGGGAGACATTTTTGAAGCCTTGTAGGGCCTCTTTTGAGCCTCCTTGGAGCCTCCTGGGGTCTCTTGGGGGCCTCTTGGCGGCATCTTGGGGTCCTCTCGGGGCCTCCTGGGGCCCTCTTGGGGCGGAAGGCTTGAGGTTTCGGTTCGTGGTCCCCATCTTGGGTCCCTCTTGGGGCCGTCTTGGGGCTCTCTTGGGCCGTCATGGGCGTCTCTTGGGCCGTCTCGGGGTCCGTTTGGGCTCTCTGGGGGCCTTCTTGGGGGCCTCTTGAGCCGTCTTCGTGCGCTCTTGGGGGCCTCTTGGGCCGTCTTGGAGCATCGGAAGACCGAAAATGCGACAAGGCCAAAATCCTTCCAAAACCATAGTAGGCCTCTTGGAGGCCACTTGGAGCGTCTTGGCGGCTTCTTGGGCCCTCTTGGGATCATCTTCGGCGTCTTGGAGCGTCCTTTGGGCGTCTCGGGGGCCTCTTGGGCAGTCTTGGGGGCCTCTTGGGGCCCTCTTGGCGCGCTCTGGGGGGCCTGAGAGGCCGTACCCAGGAGGATAACCATCTATGAGTAGACCTTCCGGGGACCTTCCCGGGACCTTCCCGGGACCTTCCCGGGCTTGGGAGTCGCAAGCATTTATTTAGCGAATGGCCCAACCGTGTGCGTTGTGGCTACCGCTTTTGGTGGAGCTCTCACTGCTGTGCCAAGAAGCATGTCAAGGGTGCGCCGGAGTTCGGCGGGGGGGCGCATGCGGACTGTGCTGCTGGGCCGCCGGTCAAGCTCCCTGGACGGGCCACGAAACATGGGAGAGTTTGAACTGGTTGGGGAACCGCATGTGGACCTTCCAATTGGAGTCTTCTGTGACGCTCCCTATGGGGCTACGAAACGTGTGATGGGTGTGACGAACTGTGCAAGACCTTTGTGGGCCCCGGGAACGGCAGGGCCGTTTTTTTCACCGTTTCCAAAAAAATGTCCCTTGAAAATGGAAGCGGCAAAGAAACGGCGACCGGAAACGGCAAAAAAACGGTTCCAGGATTCGAACCGGAGCCGGAACCGGTCAAACAACGGCGACGGAACCGGTAAAAAAACGGCGTCGGAACTGGCAAGAAAACGGCAAAACGGAACCGGTAAAGAACGGCCCTGTCGTTTCCAGGGCCCACTAAGTGCAAGACACTGCATGGGCATCCTCCCATTTGGGCCTTGGTGGAGCTCCCTATGGGGCCACGAAGCGTGTGAGGGGTGTATCGAACTAGGTAGAGGAGCCGCATGTGCACTGTGCAACTTGGGCCTTCGGTGGATCTCCCTACAGTGCCGTTTTTCATACATGCTCCGCGTGCGGATCATTTATTAAACATGCAGGGATTTAGTCTTAAAAACAACGATGCGTTCATGCATACATTTATTCATAAACTAATCATGTATCAAAAATGCTATACTTCTAAAGATCCCATGTATTAAAAGCTGCCCTGTATGGGGCCCGAACAGGGCAGGAAACCGCTCGTGGTCCCTCCCAGTGAGGTCTTCTCCGTGGAGCCCCCTGCTGCGCAACGAAACGAAGGAGGAGTGCGCTGAAATCGGCGGGGCATCGCATCTGCCACGTGGGCCTTCGGTGGAGCTCTCCGTGACGCCGCGCGCGTGAGCCGTGTGCCGAAATTGGCGGGGGACCGCAGGTGGACCCTCCCGCTGGTGGTTTTTGCTGGCGCTGCCTATATGGGGCTACGAGGCGTGTGACGGATGTGACGAAATGGGCGGGACACCGCATGGGCACCCTGCCGCTTGGGCCCTCGGTGGAGCTACCTGTGGGGCCACGAGGCGCGTGAGGGGTGTGTTTACGCATGTGCACTGTGCCACTTGGGCCTTCGGTGGATCTCCCCAAGCGGGGCCGCGACGCTCGTGATGGGCGTGTCGACATAGGCGGGGTGCCGAATGCGAGGACGGCCACCTGGGCCCTCGGCGGATCTGGGGCCGCGAAGCACACGAGGGTTGTGCCGAACAGGTCGCGCGGAGAGCAGAGGCATGGGTGGGAGGAGCGAGGAGCGGCAGGAGGAAAGAGGAGGAAGGAGGGAGGAAGTTTTGGAGGGTGAGAGAGGGGGCCTTCAACAGGGGGTCTTCAATGGGGGCTGACTCGCCCATGCATGCTCGAGCCATGGAGGGTCAGTCGTTCGTGCCCGGGACCCTGCGCCGGACCCCCACTTTCTCAATGCGTGAATTACCTACCCCGCTTTCGCTTCCAGGCAAAACCAAGTCATACCACGCGCCTTCTCGTCAAGCGGCCTGACCAGTACAGGCCGTAGTTTGGCCTCGCTTGGTATCTCTTGGAAGCGAGGGTGGTCAAACGCGAGGTAGGTTTGTTTGCCCCCTACTTTCACCCTCCAAGGAAGAGAGGATTGTGGCGTGGCGCTGCCTCTTCAAGATGAGGGTCCACCATTGCAGGATGTTTTCGGCTTCCCGGGGGGGTGGTCTCCAGGCGGCGCTGAAGCCCCCCCCCCCCTCCTCCCTTTGGCCTCGAGCGCGGATCGCGAGAGGGGCGCGTGGTCTAGCGCCGACCCTGGCAGTCCTCGTGGACCTCCGAGAGTTTACGCTTATGCAGCTTCTTGGTCAGACCTTTTGGATTGGACCTGTCGGTTCATTGAGGAGTCACTGGATCGAGGGTTTTGCTGGATCGAGGTTCTAGGCTCGACTTTCGAGAACATGTGTTTCAACGCTGTCGTCTTTTTTCGGGCCTCTGGGAGGCTCCGTGTCGTCGCGGCTGGATGATCCCCCGGATTTTGGTTAAAACGCCATTCGCAGAGGTGTCGGGGGTGTCAGCAAGGTGGCGAAGGTAGGATCATTCGGGAGCTTGGAATGGAGGTGTAGGGTGGTCGGACAAGAGCATGTCCAGAGGTTGTGAGGATGCCAGCCAGTTGGGAGCTTATCGTGGAGGGGTCTCGAAATTGAGAAACAGACCGTGCATATGTTGTGGAGATGTCAGAAGATCGCGAAAACGGGGCCAGTCGGACCCTGACGGCGAGGGTCCGAGAATCCATGCCCAGAGGAGGTCAGTGAGGGATCAGACAAGCTGGGTTCGTGGATGAAGGAGGCATACACTGGTTAAGACTTCCATCTCACACGCCCTTGGTGCCAGCGGGATTTACGCACGTGAAGTGAGGATGTACGGCACTTGGTCTACGCGTAGTGTCGCTGTGGCGATTTGGAGTGAGAAGCCATTTGGGCTCCAACACTTTGGTGTCAAGTGAAGCGTGCCCTGGTGAATGGCGCATCTCTAGGTATCGAAAGCCACAGGGTCGCGAGCCACATGGCCGCTGATATCCTGCGCTTCGAGTGCGTGCAGATCCAATGTCCAACCCACTGCAACTACCTCGGCATGTGCCCAGGTGACTCTGATGCGAAAGTGTACGGTGCGGAAGTTTGCTCTTATTGGGAGAATTTCAAGGTAATTGCCCACGATAATGGATATGTGTCTTTCCAATCGGTTGCTCATGGCAACTACCTCTGCGTGTGCCCAGGTGATTCTGGTGCGAAAGTGGTCGGTACCAAGAATTGTTTGGCCTGGGAGCATTTTAAGGTAATCGACCAAGGAGATGGATATGTTTCGCTCCAATCGGCTGCTCATGGCAACTACCTATGCATGTACCCAGGTGAGGATGCGAAAGTGGTCGGCACCAAAAACTGTTCGGCCTGGGAACGTTTCAAGGTCACAGGCAAGAAGCGGGAAATTGATGTCCGTTCTGAACGCTGGTATTCCCATTACCGACATTCTGTCTTCGCCACCATTGCTAACGCGAAGGTTTTGGGATGTGATAGGACTAGGCTTGTGCAAGTCAAGCCTCCTTTAGAGTGTCCTCGGACCAATTTGGAGGTGCCGGCGCTGATGGTTGACATATATGATGCCTACCGCCAGAAAAGGGCGCCTTTTTTTGATCATGCAGGAGTAGAACGGATCACCTATGATAGCATCACCACCTGCCAAGTATCGAAGGATGAGTTGGCAGACATGCTCGCAGTCTATTCAGACAAGGGCGATTGCGCTATCGTGACATCTTGCGCGGGGCCTCATTTCGAGGACGTCGAGGGTATCGTCGCAACGCACAACCTCACAGCAGGTCGTCGGAAACTGCAGAAGGTTCTCATCGGCTGGGCTACAGCCGGAGACATGTACAAGAACCCGAGCAGGGATTGATAGCACCATCGGGGCCACTCGCATTTTCTCAGTAGACGCCCCCTCCCGCACGCCAAGCCTAGGCCTGGCGCGTCTAGACAGTAGAAGGGGCGCTGGCAGCAGCAGAAAGTGCCCAGCGGCTGGGCTTGTGCTTTGGGCATGCAGGCCGCCCCTGGATGGCCTCTCGTGTGGTTGAAGCTCCCTGTGGGCCTCGGCTCGAGGCTCACCTGGTCAGAGGAGGGCGAGCTGAGGCAGCAGCAGTGGGCCTTGGGGGGGATGGCGGCCTCGTCGTCACGCCCGGGCGCAGCTGGGAAAGCTCCTGGTGCGCCTGGGCCCGAGGAGGTGCCCGGGGAGCGATCTCGAGCCGCCGTGATCTCAGCTCGCCCCGCTCCGAGCCCCCCGCGGTCTCACTCGTCAGGCAGCGGCGAAGCGTCCTGGCTCGCCGAATTCCAGGCCCGCCAAAAGAGTGCTCTAAGAGCCGCTTGTGCTTTGCACGCGATGTTCCGAGAACGTTCCTGGTTGAGGCCGTCTTGTGCTGTTACATCGGTTCTGTGTTCTAGGAACGTTGCCTTCGAGCAGGGGGTCGACTGCATAATTGCTCTACCCACAATTGATGTCCTGTCGAATCTGCAACAACAGAAACGCATACTATTTGGTGATATACGGAGCATTCTGCGTATGTTTTGTAGTTTCGACGTCAACTTAATTTGGGATTAAGGTAATACTGTAGTCGATCCCTCACTCGGTGCTTTTGTTCTGAGAACTGACTGCCTACCAGACCAACCCAACCCAACCTGAAGACCCGAACTTCGGGTTGGGGTTGTACGGGCTTCCCATGTGTCTTTGCAGCCTTCCCCGACCCCCCCTCCCACTGGAAATGGGGGGGCACGTCGGGGCCTTCGGGTTTGGGCTGGGGTGGCTCGCTGGGCGGTGAAGAGCAGCCTGCTGATCTGAGAGCACGTCCTGGTTGGCCTTTGGCACCGCTCGGACGTGTGCATTTTTCCTTCGGCGAGGACCATCGAGGAGCATCCTTGATGATTTGGCGAGAAAACCACGCACGAAACCGAAAAAAACACAGGGAATGGACGTCCGAGCGATGGCCAGGGCCTGCACTGCAGAATGCCGGTGGGCGGCCGGCCCATGCCCACGCCCAGGCCCCCTCCGCGCCCCCCCTTTTCTTCTTCTTCCGGGGGGCCCCTGTGGGCTCCCTCTCCTCGGGGCCGCTGCCGAGGTCACCGGCCAAGGACTGACACGAGCGAACAGCACACGCCCCATAGCCTCCCCCTCCTCGTCCTCCTCCTCCTCCTCCTCGTCCTCCTCCTCCTCCTCCTCGTCCTCGTCGTCCTCCTCCTCCTCCTCCTCCTCCTCCTCCTCCTCCTCCTCCTCCTCCTCCTCCTCCTCCTCCTCCTCCCCCCTCCTCCCTCCCTCCCCTCCCTCCCTCCTCCTCCTCCTCCTCCTCCTCTCCTCCTCCTCCTCCTCCTCCTCCTCCTCCTCCTCCTCCTCCTCCTCGGGGGCTCAAGAGACGGGGGTCACTGCAAGCGGGAGTCAGCCAGAGCGCCCGATCTTGAAGGATCCTGCAGGGCCAGGGTCGCACTGACCCAGGCTTGGGTGCAGGATCCTGCAGGATCTTGCAGGATCCTTCGCGTTGGCCCGGGTTTGGGTGCAGGATTTTGTAGGATCTTGCAGGGTTCTGCAAGGCCTGACTGACCCGGGTTCGGATTGACCCGGGTCAGAAGACCCCCGACAACGTACATCCATACCCATATCAGGGAAACGTAGGACTCGAGTACGCCGGAACTCGGGTTCGCCTAATATGCTTTTTGACGAGCCCGCCCTGGATTTGAAGGGTCAAGTTATCCTGGAACTTTTGCAGCGGGAGCTCGCGTCAAATCTCAGACTGGGTCGCGTCATTTTCATGATGGCTCCCTCGGGAAAACCCGACCCCGAGTCCCCCCAGTCCGAGTCTTACGTCTCCCCGATCATAGGGGGATCGGAGATCGGAGGTCTTGGCTATGGGTATGGGAGCGGGTTGTGGTTGTCGGACCGCGGGGGAAGCTCCCGTTCGAGCGGGGACCCCCATCCGACAGCACGGACCCATAGCCCACTCGGGCCCCCTGGAGGGTGTGAGTGCGTGTTGTCCGTTTTTACTTGAAGAGGGAGTGCTGAAGTCCGGGATCTTTTTGTCGGGGGTATGTGTGGCTCGAGTATGCCGGAACTCGTGTTTGCCGCCGCTTTTTGAAGATCGCATTTTGGATTTGGAGGGTCAGTTCCCCCGAACCCAAACCTTTCGTCTACCCGATGAGCCTCTTGGGCTTCTCGTGGGCCTCGACTGCGTTGCCCTTGGGAACCGTTCGGGCTCTCCTGGGGCCCTCCTGGGCTCCTCCTGGGCTCCTGGGGCTCGCGTGGGCCAGCTTGATGTAATTCGGAGGCCGCTGGAGTCAAACGGGTAGGTGGCTAAATTCATATGATGCCAGCGCGGTGACGCATATGAGCTCATTGGTGAATCGATTGTGGAATCCTATATGAGTGTGTGGATTTTTTTGTGTGTGTGTGCATGTGTGTACCTCCACGTCTTGTGGAGCCCCACGCGTGCGGAGCCATGAATTGTGCGGCACGTCTGGGTACCGGACCCAAATCATGTGTATGTGGAACCCTATTTGCGCGAGTGTGTGTGTGTGGATCCCTAGGAGTACGGAACCATACGTGGAGTGGAGCTCTATTTGTGTGGAACCCCATGCGCGTGCAGCCTGAAGTATATGGGACCTTATATGCGTGTATGTATGTATGTATGTATGTATGTATGTATGTATGTATGTATATATATATATAGGTGTGCGTGTGTGTGTGTGTGTGTGTTTGTGAAACCCTTGCTTCTGTGGATCTCGGCGGGTTTGTTTGGACCTGTATGTGTTTGAAGGCTGAGGTGTGCGAACTCTTATGTTGCGTGTACCGAGCGACCTACAGGCCTCGGTAGCACAAGGTGTTCTCTGGACAAAGTATGGCCCTCTAATGCCAGGTCCGCTTGAGGTTGCTTGCATGGCCACGCTTGGTCGGATGGTTGGTTGGATTTATTGTCGGTTGGTTGGCTGGTAGTTCGGCTCACTGGCTTGTTGTCGAAGCAGAGTATTGCCAGTTAAATCGGGCTGGTCGCGCGCGAAACGTAGTAGTCAAGGAGCGCTATTTTCGAGGATGCGTGGTTTCGGTTCAGCGCCGAACTTTCAGGAAGCGGCGGGTGAGCCGAAATGCGCTTCGCGATAGCGTATCCCAATACAGAATTTTGACGTCTCTTCTCTGGAGAAGAGGTTGTTCTTTCGGGCAACTTCCGTAGTGTGGATTCGGGGCCTCGGGGGCGTTCGTTTTGATTTACAAGGGAGAGTCGCTTCGGGGGCGCGACTCCGCTGCAAGTCAATCTGCAGTTTCGCATCGGGGGAGCGAAGGTGTCGTTACTTACCTGCAAGGGGGCTGTGGGCTCTGAAGCGCGACCCTGCTGTTATCTGCAGGCTGTCGTGTCCTGGTGAGCGCGAGCGCGACGTAATCTGTCAAGGATTGAGCCCTCGGGAGCGCGAGCGCGCACTCCTTTACTGTGGGCTGTGGCCTCGGGCACGCGGGCGCGACGTATTTTACAGTGGACGCTGGCCTCGGGAGCGCGATGCCGTTGCAAAGTACAGGGGGGTCCTTTCTCGGCAGCGCGAGCGCGCTGTAGTTTTCGATGGGCAACTCGCGGTCGTCTGCGAGGGGCTCTGGCCTCGGCAGCACGGTCCTTGATATATTTGTCGTGGCAGCGGCAGCGCGGATGCACAGCGGTGTGCAGCAAGGGATTCGGTTCTCGGGGAGGCAAGGCTGGTATACACATCATGTGTTTGCGGTCTCGGGGGCGCACTTGCGTAATACTTTGCAGTGGATGGCGCCCTCGGGGGGGCGACTTGTTTGTTATCTACCAGGGGCCGTCCTGGGGGGCGCGAAATGATTGTGGTGGCCTCGGGGATGCAGACGCGCTGACATTTACGACGTGTTGTGGTCTCGGGGGTTTACACAGTTGTTCGGCTTCGGGGGCGCGAATTCGTTGTAATGTATTTCCCAGAGAGAACAGCCCACCCGCATACCCACCAGGACGAATTACCATTTTTTCCGGAATGTGCGTGGACTTCGTCGACGCGCCCCTACGGCGACGAGTGCGAATCGCGACGTTTCTGGTTTTCCACATCGTTTGCGTACCGTATGTGGTAAACACGTTTCTGCGTTTATAGAATTGCACCGTTGCACGTGCGCGATGACGCGACTTGAACAATATCCCACGCACGTTTGTGCGCGGCTTGCTTTTATACAAAACATGCATTTTTGTCCATATATATATATATATATCGATTTTTCAGTTGTGGGCGCTCAGTAGAGCTTTTGGTTTTAGCATACTGTTTGCACCCCGTCCCTCGGCGGGTCGCACGTTTCGCACGTTGCCAGGGGCATCTCTTGGGGCACATGCAGCTGACGATGGTCGTCGGGCCACAGGCTCTAGAAAACAAACTTTGCACATATAAAATGTTCAGCCACGCGCAGAGGGGGGTGGGGGGAGGGGGGAGGGCTTCTTAGAAGCACCCCTGCTTCTTAGAGGGCGCGGGCCTGATCTACAGATGCAAGGCCGGCGCCTTCTAAGAAGCAGCCTCCTTCTAAGAAGCCCTCCCCCCTCCCTCCACCCCCTTGTGCGCGCCGTCAAAATGTGATGTGGGTGTGGGGGTGGCTTTGGCCGCCTTCACATATGGGATGATGGATTCGGAGGCGCGAGCGCGTTGAATGGACGAGGAACTGTGGTCTGGGGAGCGCGAGGCGTTACATGTCTCAAGACGCCCCTCGAAATCCAGGCAGCGAGACTCCAATTCTATCCATTGGACAGTTGCTACCATTGCACAACGCATTCGAGGCGGGGATCCCCGTATGTGCATCTCATTCCATGGCGCGTCCCGCTGCGAGTTTCTGGCCGTGAGCGTCTGGGTGTGAGAGTGAATCTGTTTGGACGGCGAGTCTGACGGCGTGTTGACGGCGGTTGCAATGAGGGGCAGGGACGACGATACTTTACGGACATACGGGCGGTGAGCAGGCTCCTTGCCTTCCTTCTCCATCGTCTTGCTACTTGTCGTATCCCCTCCCTTCTCTTCCTCCCGCCTCCCTTCTTCCCTTTCAAGCGTCATCCTTCCTCTGTCCTCCCTCCTCCGTCCTGGCGGCCATCCTCCTCCCTACGTTGAAGTGATTCTGGGGCCCTGGATGGACAGGAGTCGGAGGTGCAACACCGAGCGTCTCATTCGATCCATCCCCGCGGTCTAGCCGCCCGGGATTCTGAAGCCAGCGTCTCGCTCGAGACATCCTCGCGACATGCTCTGAAGGCACCGCACCGATGCCCAGGCCGCCAACAACAAACGGGCAGCCCGCCCGAAGCATCCCCACCATCTGGGCGGGAGCGGGCACGTGTTCTGCCTCCCGTCGGCTCCACATTGGGGGTGCTTTGGAGCCAGCGCCTCGCTGAAGATACCCTCACGCGGAAAAAACACACAGTGGGAAAAACACACACAAAAACACACACTGTTGGAAACAAACGCACACGTCTGTGGGAAACACACACACAAAAAAACACACGTGTTTTTTCCATATGTGTGTTTTTTCGCACGTGTGTGTTTTTTTGTTGTGTGTGTGTGTGTGTGTTTTCCCGCAGTGTGTATTTTGTGTGTGTGTGTGTGTGTTTCGTTCTGGAAGTACCGACGTCCAAGTCGCCAAAGAGGCACGGCGCCTCAGGCATCCCCCAGAGCCGGGGCGCGGAGGGGCCCATGTCGATACCCCCTTGGCGGCTCCCCCCCGGGGTGCTGAGGCCATGGACCCCGCTTGAGGCATCCTCGCATTCTGTTTCGGAGGCACCGAAGTTCAAGCCACCAACACAGGCAACTTGCCAGAGGCATCCCCACAAGCTGGGTGCGAACGGACACATGACCTACCGCCTGGCTGCTCCCCACTGGAGTTCTGAACTGAGCGCCTCGATCGGGACACCATCTCAGTTGAATGTGAGGCGAGCCTGAGTGGGAGTGGACTGTGTGGCTGAGTCTGAGTGCGAGTGAGTCTGAGTGCAAGTGACTGTGTGTGTGTGTGTGACGTCTGTTGCGGAACTTCTTGGGGGGCCTCTTGGAGGCCTCGCCGACGGCTTTCTTGTAGCCTTTTCAAGGCTCCTGTTTGTTTTCCCTGGGCCATCTTCGGGCCTCATGCGGGCATGTTGGCGGTCTTTGGTGCCATCTTGTGTGTGTGTGGGCTTTCGGCCCCCCCTGCGAGCTTCGTCCTTGGGGCCCTTCTTGGACCCCCTCTGGGGGTGCTCTCGAGGGCTTTCGGGTGGCCGTGCTGGGTGCACAGGAGCAGAGAGGACGCGGCAATCTCCGACAACGCCGAGGGCACCACTGCTCTGGACATCTTCGGCGCGGTGCCCGATCTCTCGGCTCCCCGTCGGCGTCCCTGGGCTCGGCGGGCTCGCCGGAGGGAGGCAGAGACCTGGCTGCACAAGTGCGAGCCCTTCCTTCGGGGCCCTCTCGGGGCCCTCTCGGGGCCCTCTCGGGGCGCCTGGGGGCCTCCTTGGGGCGTTTGTGGGGCCACCCCGGGTGTTCTTTGAGACCTTCCAGCCGTGCTGGTGCCCCTCTTGGGCCGTGCTGGACGGCACCTGGGGCGGGCATCTTGGAGGCGACGGAGGCTGAATTTCGAGGCTCCGAGTGCGCCGGAGGTGTGTTGACGAATGTTGTTGTGGGACCCTCTCCCTCTTAGGCTGCAAGGGCGCTGGAGGTAAGTTCGAGTTCGTCGGGGAACCCCCCCCTCGCCCATCCCCGCCAGCTTTCGGACCCAGGGGGGCCAGCCAAATGTATGAAAGAGCGTGTTCTACCACTGCTGGCGGAAAACCGGGGGGGGGGGTCACTGGGGGTTCCCAACCCGTCCCCCCCCCCCTTGAAAACCTGAGGGGGGTCACTACAGGTTCGAACCCCTCCCCCCCCCAGTCCATCATAAAGGGGGGGGGGTCGAACCCCCCCCCCTCCAAAAACCGGGGGGTGTCACTCCCGGTTCGAACCCCCCCTCCCCCCCCTCGCCGCCGGCAAACGATTCCTCTCCTCGGGACAGTTGGACAATGGTGGGCATGCTGGGACAGTGGTGGGAACGGTGATGCTGGGGACAGTGGTGCGGGCACAGTGGTGCAGTGGTTCGGACAGTGGTGGGGACGGTGGTGGTGGGGACAGTGGTGAGGGGACAGCGGGACAGTGGTGGGGACAGTGGGACAGTGGTGGGGACGGTAGTGGTGGGGACAGTGGTGAAGGCGGTGGTGGGGACAGTGGTGGGGCAGTAGTAGAGTGGAGAAAGTGGTGGGGACAGTGGGGTCAGTGGGACAGTGATGGGGACAGTGGGGGCGGTGGGACAGCACAGTGGGACAGCGGCGGGGACAGTAGGACAGTGGTGGGTACAGTGGGGACAGTGGGACAGTGGTGGTGACCGTGGGGAAAGTGGGGAGAGTGGGACCGTGGTGGGACAATGGTGGGGAGAGTGGGGACAGTGAGACACTGGTGGGGGCACTGGTGGGGACACCGGGGACAAAGGTGGGAACAGTGGGGACAGTGGGACAGTGGTGGGGACGGTGGTGGTGGGGACAGTGGTGTGGGGACAGTGTGAATGTGGTGGAAACAGTAGGACAGTGGAGGGTACAGTGGTTGTGGGGACAGTGGTGAGGGCGGTGGCGAGGACGGCGGTGGGACAATGGGACAGAGGTGCAGTGGGGACAGTGGTGGGGACAGTGGTGACAGTGGTGGGAACAATGGGACAGCTCTGTGGGACAGCGGCGGGGACAGTGGGACAGTGGGGACAGTGGGATAGTGGTTGGAGTCGTGGAGAAAGTGGGGAGAGTGGAACCGTGGTGGGAACACTGGTGTGGACAGTGGGGACAGTGCGACAGTGGTGGGGGCACTGGTGGGGACAGTGGGGACGGTGGTGGGAACAGTGGGGACAGTGGTGGTGAGGACTGGTGGTGGGCACCACTGCTCTGGACATCTTCGGCGCGGTGAGTGTGGGGTGGGGGAGGGGTTCGAACCGGTAGTGACACCCCCTGGCTTTCTGGAGGGGGTGGGGGGTCGAATCGGTAGTGACCCCTCCTCGGTTTTCTGGAGGGGGGGGAGGGGTTCGAACCGGTAGTGAACCCCCTCTGGTTTTCTGGGGGGGGGTGTTCGAACAGGTAGTGACCCCCCCGGTTTTCCGGTTTTCCCGAGGGGGGGGGGCGTCCAATTGGTAGTGACCCCCACCCCGGTTTTCTGGAGGGGGGGGGGGTCGATCTGGTTTTCCGGGGGGGGGGTTGCCGGGGGGAAGGGGGGAGGGTAGGGGGTCCAGCAAGGGCCAGGGGGGGGATTTTCGGAGTGGGGGAGGGACCCCCGTCGGGTTCCAGAGGAAGGGAGGGGTGAATTTTCCACAGTAGAGCGGCGGTGGATCAGGCTCTCTCAAATGTATCATGCGCCCTGTTACCGCGGGCAAGCGGGAGTCGGCGGGTCCAGGGGCCACTTTGAAGTTTTTATGACGCCCGGATGAGCCATCCAGGAGCATCTGGGGGGCATCTTTGTTTTGGGGCCTCTGGCGGGCACGTTGGGGCTCTGTCTGGCAATGCTGGGGCTGCCTGTGGGGGCCCTCTCGGGGCCATCTTGGAGACGCTTGTGGGCATCTTGGGGCCGACTCTGGGCCTTGCCGGGCCATCTTCAGCAAAGTTGATGGTGAAAAAGGGCCTCTGGATTCAGTCGATCCGCCTAGTAAGGATGATCGGCTTCCCAAGGGTACCCCTGCATCCTTGCCTCTTCGGTCATCTTCGGTACATCCTCAACCACTTTCGATGGCCAGCCCCGCTCGACGCGCCTCGGCAGGGGCGAGCAATGCCCTTGCATCCTTACCGCGTATCCTCACTGCATGGGTTGACTGTACATGAACAGTTGGGGAAGCTTGCAGTCATCGGCGACTGGGTGCCGTCTTGAAGCAATACCGGAACACCTTGGGGACAAGCGGCCTGCCGACCACATGTCGGAAACTGGAGCATGTACACTACCAGTGGCGGGCGGACGACGTCGGGGTGGTGTGGTGTATACCTTTTTCCCCGTTTTCCCTGGGAGACACCGAAGTATGTCTTCACCAGGATCCCGTTTTCTCCAGGCTCCGCTTTCCTGTGCGAGACTCAGTGTGAGGCCAGAGAAAGGCGTCGGTGTATAGAGTTCGGCTCCTTCACATGGACACCGCATGTTCTTCCAGTGTGCTGTGCTAGTCGGAGCGTCTTGGCGCCCTGCAGTCTTTCTCGACTGCGACGGGTTCGTCGCGTGCCGGCACGGCGACGACCCCCCGTCGGGGGCGTTCAAAGTCGGATGCCGCCAGCGGCACAGCATCAGCCGATGTCGATCGATGGGCGCTATCGGAACGCCGCGGTCGTCAAAGAGGGCGATCCGCGCTTTGTCGTTTAAGCGATCCCCATCCCCATGCTCATCCCCTTCGAGACCCCCACCAAATTACACCCCCGGTTTGGGATACACCCCTCGAAATCCGAAGAAATCGGCCTGTACCCCCGTCCAGGGGGCTGAAGCGGCCAGTGGGGCCCAGCCCACGCTCGGTACCTTTGAGTTTCCTGGCGCTCCTTGTCCGAAGCCCACCCCTGCGCGCAGCCGATATTTCCGTCGGGATTGCCCGCGCACCGCGCACCTCACGGAGGCTCAGCCGGCAACGAGGGGTGATCACTTTCGTTTGGACGCGACTCTTGGGAGGTCAAGTTCAGCATCGACGCTGGCAGATCCGTGGTCGAAGACTGGCCCGCTCCGGCATAATCCCGTTTCATCCGGCCTTGTCGCGCTTCATCCGGTTGCATCCCGGGTTTGATTTGGCCTAATTCACAGAGCGCGTTCCACTACGGGCAAAGTGTCTATTCGCGACTGCCCCTAAACCAGATGTTTGCTTCGATCTAATGTAGCCTGTTTGCCTCGATGCAATGGATCCAGACCTTTTGCGAGTACGTTCTTTTCGAGTAGTGGGACTCGTTTGTCTAAATTTGGCTTCTTGCCCCCCTAAGCCTGGATAGTTATCACGGGCTTTCTCGCTTGTCTGGGATTGCATGTACATCGGCGAACGGCTCCCAGTAGCGCCGCATGGCGCTGAAATGACGCCCAGGTCCAAATCCTCCTAGCGCCATGTGAGGGAGATACACTATGTCCGTTATGCGTGCAAAGCGGGCGCGCTATTCGGTGCCGCGGGGACGACCACTCGCTTCCGAGAGCTGCTTGCTAACATTCTGGCGCGGCCGATTCGTGTCGATTCGAACCCCGTGCTGGAGGACGAGGGCACAGAGGAGGCGGAAGCCGAGGAGGCCGAGTCAGGCCAGGGCCTCCGCCGCGAAGGCCTCCGAGGACGCCGGCAGGGCGGCGGGGCTGGGGCGTGGAGGTCGTGACTGCCTCGGCGACTGCCTGGGGCCTCGGCGACTGCCTCGGGCGCCCTCGTCAGGGCGCAAACGTCGCAGCGGAGTTCGTTCGGAAAGCAGTGGGATGGGCTAGTGTTGTCCTCGAATTTCGTTCCGGATTTCGAAGTGAGTTCCGTGCGGATCTTTTGGGGCCAGGAGTGACGACAAACCAACATCCACGCGAAATTCACTTCGTTTGTCGCTCGCCGTTTCGGGGTTTTGCGTTGACAGGAGTCCACGCCAAATGAACCCGCTGTCGCACGTCTGCAAGGTCGGTGCAGTGACCCTTGGTGCCGCACCCCACCGTGGCAGACCCGGGTCGATGCACAGTGCAATCCGATCCGAGGTCCCCGCTCGATGTGGACTGCTCCCTGCCTCGACGAGCGGGGCGAGCGCGCTCCCCGGCGACCTCGTCGCCGCCTGCTCCTCGCTCCCCCCACCGTCTGGAGCAGCCCCGGCTCCGCATCATCCAGCTCCTCCCCCTCCTCCTCCTCCGCCTCCTCTTCCGCCTCCTTCTCCTCCTCCTCCTCCTCCTCCTCCGCCTCCTCCTCCTCCTCCTCCTCCTCCTCGTCCTCGTCGACCTCGTCGTCGCCCGCGCCCTCGGCGCCCCTCCTCGGCCTGCGCCGTCGAGCGGAGCGGTCGAGGGGGGGGGGGGGGCGGTCCTCTCGGCCCGAGAGGCGGCGCCCGCGCCCGCGCCGCGCGCGTCGCCGACGCCCGCCTCCGAGGCGGCACCCAGGGGGCAGAGCGGGGAAGGGGAGGATGGCGAGGTCCTCCTCCTCTCCTCCTCTCCACCTCCTCCTCCTCCTCCTCCTCCTGCTCCTCCTCCCTCTCCTCCTCCTCCTCCTCCTCCTCCTCCGCCTCCTCCTCCTCCGCCTCCTCCTCCGCCTCCTCCTCCTCCTCATTCTCCATTCCTTTTCTTTATAAGTAACTTCTCCCTGTCGCACCCCGAGGCCACTGATTAGGGCGGGCCTGGCGTTTCGCCTGAGACCTTCTCACTCACCATGTATCACTCTGCAGCCCAAACATTGGCAACGGTATCATGGAATGAACGCGGGTGGCTTTCAAAATGTGGTTCTCGCCTCAGCGCGGTGCACATTCGGTTCAAACATCGCAAGAGTTTCAGTGATTCAGGGCGAGTCGTTTTCAACATGTGGCTCCCGTCTTAGCGCGGCGCACATTCGTTAAACAATGCAAGAGCTTCTCGGATTGAGGGCGGGTGGTTTTCAACATGTGGCTCTCGCCTTAGCGCGGCGCACATTCGTTTTAATTGTTGTAAGAGTTTCACGGGTTGAGGGCGGTTTATTTTCAACATGTGGTTCTCGCTTTAGCGCGGCGCACATTCGTTTTAATTTTGTTGTAAGGGTTTCACGTGTTGAGGGCGGTTTCTTTTCAACATGTGGTTCTCGCTTTAGCGCGGCGCACATTCGTTTTAAGCATTTGCAAGAGTTGCACTGATTCCCATCATCAACGTGCCAGAAATTGTGTTTGGGACGGGTTCAGGGCTGCGGGTGCAACAGCTACGTTGATTCGCTGTGCTGAAGTCCTAGGAACGGCGTTCTGGCACGATTCAGGATCGCCAACACGCAACAGTTAGATGGATCCGTGGTGTTGGAATCCCGAGAACAGTGTTTTAGTATGCTTCAGGCTCTTCAAACGGGTGTCTTCCAACGAGGCAGTTGCATCAATTAGAATGAACCTTTGTAGGGGCCTATGAAGAGGGAGCTTGGAGGGAGGGTTTACTCCAACATCGTTGATGACTCTTGGGTTTACACTGGTCCTCCTCCTTCTCCTCCTCATCCCCATCCTCCTCCACCCCCGTCTCCTCCTCCGCCTCCTCCGCCTCCTCCTCCTTCTCCTCGTCCTCCGCCTCCTCTCTCTCTCTCTCGCCCTCTCGGCTTGAATGTCTGCCGACGTAGTCATCTCCTCCTGATTCCTCCTTCCTCCTCCTCCTCCTCCTCCTCCTTGTTTTCCTCCTCCTCGTCCACCTCCTCCTGCGCCTCCTCCTCCTCCTCCTCCTTCTCCTTCGCCTCCTCCTCCTCTTCTGCCTCCTCCTTCTCGTCCTATCTATGGTAGTTTCGGTGGAGGAGGGGGAGGTCCGGGCCAGAGCTGGGGCAGGGGGCTGACCAAGGCCCAGGCCCCCGTCGCGTGGTCGAGAAGATCACGACGGGGGTGTCTTCTGATGGCGTTTCGCTCCAGTGGGGGCTCTCTCCGCAAGCACCGGGACCGTCGCAAAACGATTGAAGATCAGGTCCCGGGGAATCGTTCGAGACCTCCAGGGGTCTCTAGTGATAGTTTTTTTTAATTGTTTCGCCGATTTGGGCGGACCCCCCTCCCCCCCATCCCCCCTCAGTGGAGTAGATCTTGCATGTTTTTTGGCGCCTGTTTCGAGCGGTTTAGTGTTTGTCGGCACTCTTGCAAGCAGTCGCACTAAGCAGAAGTCTGGAGCCAGACCCCCCCTCCCCCCCCTCTTTCCGCCCAAGGTCGAAACGCCGAATAAAAAACAAAAGCGCTCACCTACGCTGGGGAGCAGGAGCGCGATGTCGGGGCGGCTGTGCTCCAGGGGGCGCAGAGTGGTGCGAGGCTTGAGGTTTTTTTGTGCGCCCTCATCGGTTCCTGGAGGCTTTACAGCCCCGGGGTGTCCTCCAGCAGCTGCGCCTCACCGATGGGGCGTCCAGGGGTGCTCGGGCCGTCTCGAGTGGCCGCGGGGGGCCCGAGGCGTGGCCCGAGGGCCACGTGCGGCGAGGGGCTCCGGGGAGGGCCCGCGTCCCGAGGAGGCACCATGGGGGCGGCAGCGGAGGAGGCCGGAGGCAGTGCTGTGTGGGGGGGGGGGGGGCAGCAGGAGAGGATGGGGGGGAAGGGTGCCTGCGTGCTCGCGCCTGCTTCGCTTGCTTTCTCTTGGGCAGGCCGCGGGAGGGGGAGCGCTCGGAGCGTCAGTGCTCCGCCTCGTTGTTCCTTCCTGCGTGGGGAGGAGGAGGAGGAGGAGGAGGAGGAGGACCTCCTGTCGCCTCCCTTCGCCGCCGCGCTCTCCCCGTCGTCCTTCCCCTGTCCCCGCCGCTCCCTGCCGCCCTGCCCCCCTTTCGTGAGCGGCGTATGTGGCTGCGCTCACGCAGAGGGTCCGAGCTCTCGCGAGGAGGCCGGTGAGCGCAGCCGCGGCGCGTCTCGCGAGCGGTCGTAAGTCGGGCGTATCCCTCTACAGGAGGAGCATTCAAGATTCAATAATGATCAACATGTGATATGGGGACGATGTTTCTAGTATTTTTGGTTGTATGTTTTTTGGGGCATTTGTTTTTTAAAAAAGTTGTTGGTATGTTATAGTTTTCCTCGAAGCTCTGCCTGTGGGAGGACATGCGCGACCTAAGAGTAGTCCTGGCTCCCGCGCTAAGACTGTCAGTGCTGTGCGCCCCCCGTCAGGGCACTCGTCCGGCCCCCAGAGGCCTCGGCAGGCGTGGCCTCCAACGGCTCAAACATACAGTGGAATCTCATGCCAATGAACACCCTGCTTGCCTCCAGGGTGCCCCAGGTTTCTTGGGTTTCGATGGTCTTGCGATGGAGAGCGTGACGCTCCCCCCCTGGAGGCCTCAGGAGTCGTGGCCCCAAACGGCCTGAAAATATGCAGTGGAACCCCATGCCAAGGAACACCCCGCTTGCCTCCAGGGTGCCCTGGGTATCTGGGTTTTGATGGCCTTGCGATGGAAAGCGTGACGCTCCCACGCAAGAAATCCATGGACCTCCTGGGGCGTTGGGGTTGGGTTTCTGGTGGAGGGCTTCTTGTGGTCGAGCTCCTACTGTGCACTTCCGGAGGTCCGCGCGGATTTCTTGGCGGCGCCTCTGGCAGGGCGGTCCGTGTGGCTTGCTTCCCGTTCAGGCAGGGCGGCGCAGGACGACGGGCAGAGCAGAGCGACACCCGACACGAGAGCAGCACGAAACAGGACACGGCGCTGAGGTCCAGCCCTGCTGCGAGCACCGAGGGGCGGCCGCCGCCCCCCTGCGCTGCACGCCCGCCGCCCGAGGAGGAGGCGCCCCCGCCCCCGCCCTCGCCGGCGACCCCCGCCGCGGCGGCGGCGGCGCCCGCCGGGGCGGAGCGGGCCGAGGACGCGCGCGCGCGCCCCGCGCCGCCGCCGCGGGGGTTCGTCGTCGTCGTCGTCGTCGTCGTCGTCGTCGTCGGCGGCGGCGGCGGCGGCGGCGGCGGCGGCGCCGTGCCCTCGTCGCTGTCTGTAGTCGCCTGGGCGCCATCGTCGCCGTCGCCGTCGCCGTCGCCGTCGCCGTCGCCGTCGCCGTCGTCGTCGTCGTCGTCGTCGTCGTCGTCGTCGTCGTTGTCGTCGTCGTTGGCAACCTTCATGCAGGAACAGTTGCCTAGCTCGGAGCGATGGCCAGAGCACAGCGTCGCCGTCGTCATTGTCGACGTCGCCCTCGTCACCAACGTCGCCGTGGTCGCCCTCTCCGCCATGGGGCAACGCACGTCCTGAGGGAAAAACTGTCGGGCAGTTTGCCCCCCGTTCTCGTGCTCCCCAGGGCCCTGCAGGGAAGGATGCCTCTAGGGTCTGTGCCGGATGGCAGGCAAAGGTCCCGAACGCAAGCGGGGGGCCCTTGGGGCCGCTCATCGCATCGCCGTATGCTTGGGGCCGGGCCCCCTCGTCTTCTTCCCTTCCTCCTCCTGCACGCGGGACCGTTCTCCATCCGGGGTGCCCCGATGGGCCTCATGCGCGCTGGCGTGGACCGCCCCCGCCTCGCCGCCGACGGGCAAGCGCGTGTGCTTGGGCGGGGAGGCGGGCGAGCAGAGGGTTCGATCCCGGGCCCCCGACGCCGCGACTCTGCCGCGGCCTGGGGCTGGGCCCCGCCCTGGTGGCCGCAGGGGTGCCCCGAGAGGCGCCTCGGAGGATGGCATGGCCCCCCCCCTTTGCTGCTTTCAGGGGGTTTTGAGTCGGGCATGTCCCTGTACAGGAGGAGCTTTCATAGATAATCCAAATGTTACCTGGGGACGTTTTTTTAAGGAGAGTTTTTTTTATGATTCATTATGCACGATTTCTTCGTCTTCGTCGTCTTCTTCCTCTTATTATTATTCTTCTTACTTTCACCATCATCATCATCATCATCATCATCATCATCATCATCATCATCATCATCATCATCATCATCATCATCATCATCATCATCATCATATGTTTACACGCACCATGTTCGACTTCATGTTTTTGGACATGTTGTGCATGTTTCTGCCAACACCTGTCTGTAGGGGGACATGCCCGACCTAAAAGAAGTTCCCGGCCCTTTGCTTTCGGCCTAGACGTCACCTGGCGCTGGCTCGTCGTGCCCCGGGCCCCCTAACCTGGGGCCCTGCCCGCCTCTCCGAGCGAGACACCCAAGTTCATTTCCACCGGAGATGCGTCTCCGGGGCAAGCTTTCGGGTCCCCCCTCGTCCACGCACCTTGTCCTGACCGCGGGCGCCCTTCTCGGGCGCCACGGGAGGAAGAGGAGGAGGACGAGGAGGAGGAAGAGGAGGAGGAGGAGGAGGAGGAGGAGGAGGGGGAGGAGGAGGATCAAGGAGGAGGGAGGAGGAGGAGGAGGAGGAGGAGGAGGAGGAGGAGGAGGAGGAGGAGGAGGAGGAGGAGGAGGAGGATCGAGGAGGACCAGGATGAGGATCGTGGATGTCCCCCTTCTCGGGCGCCTCCCTCGTGCCCGCCCCACCCCCCCTGGTGGCCCTGGGGCTGGGCGCCAGCTCCTCGAGGCCGGGAACGCAGCAGCGCTGGCCGTCGCCTGGCTCCAGGGGGCCGTCGGGCGGGGCCAGGACCGAGTCGGGCACGTCCCTGTATACGAGGAATGCTCAGACATGGTCAGGACATAGTCTGGGGACGACTTTTGCAGTATGTTTGAGCATTTGCTGGGTTATGTTTGGAGTACCTTTGGTTCTTCGCCCTGAGGATACATCGGGCATGTCCCCCTACAGGAGGAACAGTTGAAGCACAGTGAACAAATAGTCAGGTGTTGATTTGTTGGTTTTTGTTTCGCCGTTTTCGGTTATTTATTTAATCGCTTCGCTCATTCCGCTGGCCCTGGAGCCCTCTTTAGGGCCTCTTGGGGGCCTCTTGGGGACCTCTTTGGAGTCTCTTGGGGCTCCTTGGTGGCGTCTTGGGGGCCCCCAGGGCCTCTTGGGGGGCTCTGTTGGGCATCTTGGGGCGGGACGGGGGGTAGTCGATTGCGGTCCCCCCTCGGAGGCCACGATCCTCGTGAGGCTCGAAAAATTGCCCAGTCCGGGGTCTCCTCCCGGGACTTGCCCGGGGTACTTTTCGCCTGGGGACCCCCAGGGGCCGCCCCGCGCGCGCGAACTAGAAATATTGTTAACCAGTTGCAGGAGATCTTAGCACGCGTCTGGCCCGTTGGGCCGGCGAACTTGGTGACTAGTTTTAGTTTTTTTCCAATCTACAACTGTAGGGGGACATGCCCGACCGAAGACCTGGGATGACTCGCTCCAGGGCGTTCCTGGACATCGCTCTCAATTAGCGCGTCCTTGATCTGGATCGGCCGCGGCGCCCGACACACGTCCTCCAGAGCCGCCCGGCCCCAGAGGTCCCCGAGTTTGCCCCGACCCGAGTTTGCCCCTGCCATGGCTTCCGTCTCGGTTGGGGACGATCGAGCGGGGCTAGCACGAGGATACAATCCCTTCTGGAGCGTTCCAGAGCGCCCTCAGAGAGCGTTCGGGCACGCTCCGAGAAGGCCGTTGCGCCCGATACAGCCTCCAGAGCCGCCGGATCGCAGAGATTCTTGATTTATCGGGCGTCGAGTAGGGGGGGTGCGATACAACTGGCGGGGGTGAATAGATAGGTGCGCTTGTGCCCGAAAGGGGCCTTACGAACGGCTCGAAAGGTGCACGTTCCTCCCCCCCTGTTCACGCCGGTCGTTGAAAGTAGATGTTTTTGGATTCCCAGATCCCAATCTATTTCTATCCCAAGAATCGGCATGGTCTTGATGTGCTTGTTACTCTCTGGGAGGGCCTGAATCCAGTCTGTTTGATCCGCATTCCTACTTCATGCTTTTACCTACTTCCCCCGACCGCCGTGCATCGCCCCCCCCCCTACACTTATCCACGCCCAGATTTCTTTGATGCCCCGCCCGAATGTTCTGTCCTCGCCTTGGCCACGCCTCCAGGGCGAGGCCGGCCTTTCCGAGGAGAGGCTCGTGTGAGCCTGGCACCGCATGCGCACGCAGTCCCCGAGCCAAGTCGCACACCGCCCCGCGTAGCTGACATCATCCGTGCACTCAATCTCTCCCCTGAAGTGAGGAGGAGGAGGAGGAGGAGGAGGGGGAGGAGGAGGGGGGGGAGGGGAGGAGGAGGGGGAGGAGGGGAGGGGGGAGGAGGGAGGAGGAGGAGGGGGAGGAGGAGGAGGAGGAGGAGGAGGGGGAGGGGGAGGAGGAGGCTCCGCGCAGTCCTCCACGACGGAGCACACCTCTGCCCAGCCTCGGGCCTCCCGCGGGGGGCCGCCGCGCGGCCGTCCGTGCGCGCCCTCTCTCTCGGCTTCGCGCTCACTGCGCCGAGGGGGCCAGCGCCGAGAGGTGGGCCGCGGGCAGCGCGCGCGCCCCGCGTCCAAGCAGCGGCGAAGCGTCCTCTGGCTCGCCTACAGCTTGGCATCGCTCGGACGTGTGCATTTTTCCTTCGGCGAGGACCACCGAGGAGCATCCTTGATGATTTGGCGAACAAGAAACCACGCACGAAACCGACAAAAAGCACAGGGAATGGACGTCCGAGCGATGGCCAGACAGGCCCACCGCCGAATGTTGTAAGAGCCTTCTTGGTGGTTTGCACGAGATGCTCTCAGAGAGCATTTCTAGCCGAGCCCGTCCTGTTTTACCACACCGGGCTCATGGTCTAAGAACGGTGTTCTTGTTCTACTCTGAAGCCCTTTAGCTTTCGAGAGAGCCATCCGGAAGAAATCCGGATAGCGGAGCGCCCGAAGATTCGATTTTTCGTTTTGATCCACTATTGTTTTTAGTAGGCATACCTCGTAGAGCTCTTCGGCAACGATGGCCTCAAACAACGCAGATCCACCCCTAGATCCCTTCCCATTCCTCGGCTCCGCACTCCTCAGGACCCCATCTTTGAACTGCCGACTCGGGGGAGGGAGAGATTCGAGCAGCGGTGAAGCGTCCTGGCCTGCCTGTGGGCCCACCAGGGAGTGTTCTCGGAGCCTTTGCGGTCTGCACGGAAGGTTATCAGAACATTGAGGGTTTGTGCCCTAGGAACATTGTGGTTTGCTCTTAGGTCATTTTGGCCATGTTTTGACACATGCGGTTTGTGCTCTAGGAACATTTTTCTTGTTCTTATATATCATTTTGGGGTTCTAAGGGAATGTCGCGGTAGGCCTTTAGGAATGCCCGCACGGTCGTCCTGCTCAAGAGGTGGCTCCACCACCAGAGGGGCCTCTTCCAGTGAGGAGGTCCACGATGCCTCCTTGAGCGGGAACGTTCTGAGCAGGCCGCGGCGCCCGAGACGTTTTCCAGAGCCGCTGGATCTGATAGATTCTCGATGTCTCTTCACCCGAATCTGTCCTCTTCATGGATTTGCCTCAGTGAGGGCGGGGACGGTCATAGGCGTTACCGCGACTAACAAAACGGGCTTCAGGTCAATGTTTCCCGCCCTCATGGCCGGTGCACCCTCCCCTAACTCAGCCACGCGCAGAGGTGGGCAGGGGGAGGGGGGCAGGCTTCTTAAAAGCACCCCTTCTTCTTGGAGGGCTTCGGGCCTTGTCTGTAGATGTAAGGCCCGTGCCTTCTACGAAGTAGCCTCCTGAGAAGACTTCGCCCCTCCCCCTACTCCCTTGTGCGCGCCGCCAAAGTTCGTTGGTTCTCGCCCTAGGCCTCGGGGGACGGAGAAGCGACACCACCACCAGGGGGGGCACATCCAGCGAGGAGGTCCACGATGCCTGCCCGGGCTGGAGGTGGAGGACCTGCGAGACTGCGGCCTGTCCCTGCAGGCCTCTCCAGACGGTTTCCCACTACTTCCGTGTGCCGTCGAGCTTCCCAGAAGCCCCCTCGGAGGCTCCTTCCCAGCGCTCTCGGAGCTCCTCCGAGGGAGGCGTCGGCAGGCCTGCCTGGCGCTCCGCGGCCCGGGCTTTTGGACTCCACGGGTGCCCACCCGAGCTGGAGAGGGGGGCTGTCTCGAGCGAGAGGGGGGGGGGGACCGCACCACCAGCAGGGGGGACCCCCCCCTGGCTTCTGCAGCTGTCAGGCGACCGCAAACGTTTTCCAGCGACGGGTGCCGTTTCCTTATTGGAAATCGCGGATTCCAGCCGCCGAACGAGGCGGCAGGGGCCGCATTTTTGGGGAGGGCACCTCCCCCGATCCATGGATTTGGCGACCGCGCGCCCCATCCACCGATCGCTGATCCACGTCTGCGCGCCCCCGGCACTGGTGGTGGTGGTGGTGGTGGTGGCGCTTCTCCCGCCCCCTGGGCCTCGGCCCTGCCCCGCCGCGCGAGCGCGCCCGTCCTTCGCCGCGCAGCCGCCGACGGGAGGAGGGTGAGCTGAGGCGCGTAGGAGGATGAGGAGGAGGAGGCACAGGGGGTGCCCCTGCCAAGGAACGCCCTTGGCTTGCCTCCAGGGTGCCCCGGGTTTCTTGGGCTTCGATAGCTCTGCGATGGGAAGCGCGACGTGCCCATGCCAAGAGACGCCCTGCTCCATGCTTCCCCTGTCTTCCTGCTCCGCCTCCTGTTCTCCTCCTCCTTCTTCCTCCCTCCCCGCGTCGGCGCCGCCCTCCCCGTCCCTCTCTCGCCCCCTCCCTCCTCTCCGCCCCTCCTCGCCCTCCCTGGGCGCGGGCGCGGCCGTGGCCAGCCCACCTCCCGGGCGGCCCGAGGCCTGGCCCTCCCCGCGGGCCCGCCGCTCGGGGGGCGCAGCGTGGCGCTCCCGTGCCTCTCGGGAGCTCCGGCCGCCGTGCTGGCGCGGGCGGGGGCCTCCTGCGGCGCGGCGTGGGAGCGCTCTGTCTGCCTCGGGGGCGCCGCCCCCGCCGACGGCCCGAGGCCGACCACCCGTCGCGGGCAGCCACCTCTGATGGACCTGTTTTCCATCGCCACCGCCACAAGTTGGACGGGGGAGGGAGGAGGAGGACGAGGAGGAGGAGGAGGACGAAGAGGGGCAGGAGGAGGAGGAGGAGGAGGAGGAGGAGGAGGAGGGGCAGGAGGAGAAGGAGGAGGAGGAGGATGAGGAGCCCCACCCTCTCCAACTCATGGCAGTGGTGGTGGAAAACAGGCCCATCAACTTCGCTGCCGAATGCGCCGTACAGACAGTGGAAACACATGCCAAGAAACGCCCTGCTTGCCTCCAGGGTGCCCTGGGGTTCTTGGGTTTCAACAGTTCTGCCATGGACAGCGTGACGTTCCCACATCTCTCAGGGGGTCTCAGGGCTTGGTTTCAGGGCGTCCTGGGGTCTCAGGGGTCCTGGGGTCTCAGGGCTGGGTTTTGTTGTGGAAGGTTTCTTGTGGTCTGGCCTCCACTGTACCGAAGCCGCTGCATTGCCCTTGTTTGGCCCAATTTGGGGCCTACTGGGAGGCCCCCGTCGCCACCGCTGGATTCGCCTCGCAATCCTGGCTAGAGAAGGCACCCCAGGAGAGGTCGGTGTCCGGGGGGTGGAGGTGTCGGCACCTTTTGAGCTCTCCAAGTCCCTCGCTGCACGCGTCCGCCAGGAGGAGGGCGAGCTGAAGCCGAAGGGCAGGGACGCCCGGCTCGATGCGCCAGGGGCGGCGGAGGCGCCGCCAGGGGGGCCCAGCGCCGCTGGCCAAATTCTTGCCATCTACTCCGACTCGCGTTTGATATGTGTGTGTGTGAATGTGTGTGTGTGTGCGTGTGTGTGTGTGTGTCTGTGTGTGTGCGTGTGTGTCTGTGTGTGTGTGCGTGTGTGTGTGTGTGTGTGTGTGTGTGTGTGTGTGTGTGTGCGTGCGTGTGTGTGTGTGTGTGTGTGTGTGTGTGTGTGTGTGAGCGTGTGTGTGTGTGTGTATGTCCTACGTAACGACGTGCGCCGACGGGGTTGTCGCCGTCGCCTCGTCGCCACTCGCCATGCTCGCCTGATTACGGACAGGGCCCCCGGCCTGAGGAGCACACCGTCGCGCGGCCCACTGGAGTCGCCGGCTTTGCTTCTGTACGGGCGGCCTTCCCGAGCAGGTCCAGTGCGTCCCGGGCGGGGGCGCCAGCACCTTTTGCGCCGCCTGGCGGGTCGTCCGTTTACGTATACTTATGGTGTGTGTGTGTGTGTGCGTAGCGTGTTGTCTGTTTTTGTGTTTTTATTCTTGAATCTCCATTTCTAAAGATCAATGTGTGTTGATCACCCCCACGGGCGCCCGTTGTGTCTTTCACTTGCATCGCTCCTTCCAGGGTTCGTCTTTGTTTTCTCAAGGGGAGGTCTTGGGCCAGAGAATGCGATGTTGACCCCCAGACTGCAACAACAACGGTTCCCGTCTGTCATTTCTCCACAATATATTCACACTCGTGTTCTCGCACTGGACTTTTTCATTAATTTCTATAGGAATCGTGCTCTTGCATGGGTCTTCCTCCCAATTCATTGAGACCCTGCGCCCTCGACACTCAGGAATCACGCTCTCGTCTTGGACCTCAAAACGATTCACTTGGTAATCGCGGTATCGCTCGGACTTCCTCGCGATTCATGCGGACTGACGCTTCAGCGACCCGCTCGCTCTACCTGGCCGCTTGGGCCCGCCCACCCGAACCGCCCGATGGGGTCCACCCGCCCGACCCCGCCCGTCTGGTGTTGCCTCTTGTTCTCTTGCTCCTCATCCCCTTCGCAAATCTCTCTTGTGCTCCAACCTTCTCCCTCACCCTTGTCTTTTCCTGCCTCTCTCCCTCCCCTGTTTTCAGGGCGGCGTCAACGACATGGGGCAGATACAGATACCTCAAAGCGGGCGGGTACGAGGGTGTGGGATATGCATGTCAATTGGAAAGCGAGCCAATTAGAGGGAACAGTCTGAAGATGGTTGCTGTTTATGTTAAGCTCAATATTCTAAAGCATTGTTGAGTCCCCCTCCGGTGCAGTTTGTGCTTATTCAACTCTTCAATTCAAGTGTTTTTCCTGGGACTCGCACCCGGTTGTTTACAAGGGACAGCGTTGGGCCTCAGAAAGCGTTTTTGGGGCCCGAACTAAAACAACAAAACAGCTCCCGCCTCATACCTCCTCACAGTTCACAATCGCGCTCTCGCGCTGGGCTTTCTCAACCATTTCTCCAGGAATCGCGCTCCCGAGTTGGTCTCCCTCGTAATTTATTCGACGCAGCGCCCTCGTCAGTCAGGCATTAAGCTCTCACCTTGAACATCCTGACGGTTCCCTTGACAGACGCGGCATCGCTCGAGACCTCCTCGCGATTTCATGTAGGACTGGCGCTTCAGCGACTCGCCCGCTCGACCCGGCCGTTTGGGTCCGCCCGCCCGACCTGCCCCGCATGACCCGCCCGTTTGGTTATGCCGTTCGGTATCTTGTTCCTACCCCTCTCCTGCTAATCCCTGTCGTGCTCGATCCTTCTCTCTCCCTGTTGTCCCTTCCCTCTTTCCTTTCCTTGTTTTTCGGGGCTACGCTTCCTACGCTCGGCAGGCAAGGAGGATCTACCCCCAAAGAGGGGTATGATCGAAGACGAAGAGGGCGGGTATCGAGGGTTTGGTCTACACCTATCGAGTGACACGCGTGCAGCAGATACCGAACAGTCTTGAAATGATGATTGAATTCTCAGTCCCGGTAGACTTTGCGTCTTTTGTTGTTCAATTGAAGTGCCCCTCCCGGGGCTCGCACTCTGGTCTTTACACAGGAACAACTTGAGTCTCAGATTGGCCACCTGGCCCTCGGGTTACAACAGCAACAACATCTTCCGCCTGATATCTCTTGACAATCTATTGAATACTCGCGCTCCCGCTCGAGACGTCCATGCATTTGAACCAGGACTCGCGCTTCCGCCTGAGACTTCCGTGCAATTATTCACGTTTCGTTTCCTCGGCGCTGTGAAATTGCTCTCTCGCTCGGTACTCCTCATGAGATTCTCCGGAACCGCGCTCTCGCCTGGGACTTCCTTGCCAACCCCCAATATTAAGCCCTCTCGCCAATCCTTCTCGTCCTCCATATCTCCTTCCCTCTGACCCCTTCGCTCCTCGCGCCCTTCCCTCGCTCGCTTCCTCCTCGCTTCCTTCCTTCTCTTTTATGCTTGTTCTTCTTGTTTTACGGAGTGCGCCAGCTACACGTGGCAGGAAGTAAGACATCTAAGTACACGTTGCAGGAAAGGAAGATGTCCCCCCCCCAAGGGGATGCGATCAAAGACGGAGAGGGCGGTTATCGAGGGCTTGGGAGACACATGTTCGTTGTCACTCGAGCACCTACGTGCGAATAGTCTAGAATGAGTGTCGTTGTTGTTGAACAGCATTCTTGAGTAAAAATGCTTCGTGATCCCCCTCACTGTTGCACATCGTTTTTTCAATTGAAGTGTCCCTCCCGGGGCTCGCACCCGGGTCTTTACACAGGAACAATTTGAGTCTCAGAATGGCCACCTGGCCCTCGAGTTACAACAACAACAACAACAACGATAACAAAAACATCCTCCGCTCTTGACAATCTATTGAATACTCGCGCTCCCGCTCGAGACGTCCATGCAGATGAACCAGGACTCGCTCTCGCCTGAGACTTCCGTACAATTATTCACGATTCGTTTCCTCGGCGCTCTGAAATCGCGCTTTTTCTCGGTACTCCTCATGAGATTTTCCGGAACCGCGCTCTCGCCTGAGACTTCCTTGCCAACCCCCAATACTAAGCCCTCTCGCTAATCCTTCTCGTCCTCCATCTCTCCTTCCCTCTGACCCCTTCGCTCCTCCCGCCTTTCCCCCGCTCACTTCCTCCTCGCTCCCTTCCTTCCCTTGATGCTCGTTCTTCTTGTTTTAGGGAGTGCGCCAGCTACACGTGGCAGGAAGGAAGACATCTAACTACACGTGGCAGAAACGGAAGATGTCCCCCCATTAGGGGATGCGATCAAAGACGGAGAGGGCGGTTATCGAGGGTTTGGGAGACACATGTTGGTTGTCACTCGAGCACCTACGTGCGAATAGTCTAGAATGAATGTTGTTGCTGTTGAATCTCATTCTTGTACAAAATAATTGGTTATCCCCCCCTCACCGTTGCACATCGTTTTTTCAATTGAAGTGCCCCTCTCGGGGATCAGGGAAAGTCTTCGTGCTCAAACTGAAACTGTGTTGTTTGGACCCCGAAATCCAATTACAACAACAACAATCATTTTAAGATTGTTCGCTCCGATCTGCTCGCGCGCCAGTCAACGCGTATATCCCAAACCCTCGGTACCCGCCTTCTTCGTCTTCGATCATACCCCCATGGGGGTATATCTTCCTTCGCTGCCACGCGCATTTACCGCAGCCTCACAAACAGGGAAAGGGAGGGCGCATGGAAAGGGGTGGGATAAGGATGGAGAGGGCTAAGAGCAGAAAACCCGTGGCAGAACCAGACAGACAAATCGGGCGGGCAGACCCTAGCGGACGGGTCGGGAAGGCGGGCCCAAGCGGCCAGGTCGAGCAGGCGCGCTGCTGAAGCGTCAGTCGCGCATGAATCACGTGGACGTCTCGAGCGACAGCGCGATTCCCACGGAAATGATGAGAAGGGCCCGAGCATGAGCGTGATTCTTGAGTGTCGAGGGCGCGGCGGCTGAATCAATTGCGAGGAATTCACACGCGAGAATGCGGTTCCTGCATAAACTGTGAGGACCTCCCGCGCGAGAGCGCGATTTTGGGAAACATCGTGAGTAAGTATCAGGCGGGAGCTGATGCTGTTGTCACTCGGGGGCCGGGTGCTCAGTTTGAGCACGAATATTTCCCATGATAAAAGCAGGATGAGAGCCCCAGGGGGAGCATTTTATTTTGAAAGAACAATGTGCACCAGTTGAGGGTGTGGATCAACAGGTTTTGGTTTAAACGAATGAGAATTCAGCAACAACAGCAACACCAATGTTACTACTGTTCGCTCTAACATGCTCGCGCGACATTCAACCCGTATGTCCCGAACCCTCGGTGACAGCATTCTTCGTCTCCGATCGTGCCCCCTTGCGGGTGTATCACTCATTCCTGCAATTCGTATCTCGTGCAGCCCGTGATTCAGGGGAAGAGTGGACGGATGGAAGGAAGGGACGAGGGGCTGGCGGGTTGCTGAAGCGTGAATCCTGCATGAATCACGAGGAAGTCTCGAGCGATAGCTCGATTCCCAAGTACATCGTGCGAAAGGCCAAAGCGAGAGCGTGATTCCTGAGTGTCGAGGGTGTGGCGGCTGAATAAATTGCGGGGAAGTCCCTCGCCAGAGCGCGATTCCCTTCTACATTGTGAGGAGGTTCCGCGCGCGAGCGCAATTTTGGTTTAAAGTGTGAGTAAGTGTCAAGCGTGAACCTTTGCTGTTGTTGTAGTTGAACATTATTACTTCTAAAGAATAATTATTGTTGGGACCCCTGGTGCACGACCCCCCCGCCGCGCCTAGGCCGCAGCCTCATTTTCATCGTTTTCGTGAGGAAGTCTCAGGCAAAACGGGGGAGTCCGGATCCGGTTGTGTTGTTACGATCGGTTTTCCCTTGCAAAAAATGAGCTAAAGTGGACATTTCTTGTTCTAACATGCCCAAACTTCAAGAATCCCTTGCAACAAATAAGGTAAAGTGGACATTCGCGCGCGCAAGACGAAATCCTTCCAAAACCTTAGTTTCCGTAGCGATTTTAACATAAAAACATAAAAAAAACAATGGTTTTTTCAAACAAAACATGTCAAAATTTCATCCCGCGCGCTCTTGCGGATTCGTAGGAAACCCAACACTTTTTAATCATTTCTGTCAAACGGGCTTTTGCGAGCAACTTTTTCGAACTTCTGCAACAACGGTTGCGCACCTGCCAGGGCCATCATCCCTGTCAAATAATACCATGCGGGACACATTCGTTTTTTCTTCGCGCGCGCACGCCGTCGTCGTCGGCCGCGGGGCCCTGAATAGTAGCCACGGTCGTCCGCATGCCACGAAGTGAAGTGTCCGAACGTCATAGGGCGGGAAGCTGGGTGTGGGTGGTGGCGAAGAGTCGTTTGGAAATTTGGTAGAGCTTGAACCGGCCCCCCCACAAAGTGGGGGTATTGCCCGCCTCCTATGAAAACCCTGGCACTGGTGAGAACGGAGTGTCCCCACGTGCTGGTAATTGTTGTTGTTGTTGTTGTTGTTGTTGTTGTTGTTGTTGTGGTTGTGGTTGTGGTTGTTTGTGTTGTTGGTGTTGTAGTTGTTATCGTAGTTGTTGGTGTCGTTGTAGTTGTAGTTGTAGTTGTAGTTGTAGTTGTCGTAGTAGTAGTAGTAGTAGTAGTAGTAGCAGTCGTAGTAGTAGTAGTAGTAGTAGTAGTTGTTGTTGTTGATGTTGTTGATGTTGTTGATGTTGTTGTTGTTGTTGTTGTTGTTGTTGTTGTTGTTGTTTGTTTGTTGGTTTTGTTGAATTCTCAATTCTGAGGAGTAATTATTGTTGATCCCCCCCACCGGCGCATACTGTTTTTTTCTAAATCAAAGTGTGCCCCTCGACGCTCGCACCCTGTTTTTTACATGGAAAGTCTTGATGCTCAAACTGGGCCCCTGGCCCCCGGGTTACAGCAACAACGGCTCCCGCCTGAGGCTTCCTTACAATTTAGTCAGGACCCTCGCTCCCGCCCGAGACTTCCTTGCATTTTATTCAGGAATCGCGCTCTCGTTTGGGACCTCCTTCCAATTTTTATTCAGGAATCGCTCTCCCGTCGCTCTGGAGTCGCGCTCTCGCTGGAGAGTTGCTTGCAACTTCCTAAAGAATGGCCTTGCGTTGGAATTTCTTGCAATTTGTCCAGGCGCCGCGCTCCCGACACCCAGGCACCCAGGAGTCGCGCCCGGTGTGGCCCCATGTGCATGCCCTTCGTGGCCCCGCTGTCGCCATTCGTGTCCCCCTCACTGCCCTACGTGGCCCTGTTGCTACCCTCAGTGGCCCTATAGTTGCCTTTTGTGGCCCCGCATTATCTGCACTTCGTGGCCCCCGCTCGTTCGCGATCTTCGGGGCCCCATACGCATTCCCTTTGTGTCCCCGCTGTCGCCCTTCGTGGCCTACTTCGTGCCCTGCGTGGCCTGCTGTCGTTCTCTCTCGCTCTCGCGTTCGCTCGTCGTCGCCGTCGTCGTCGTCGCAGTCGTCTTCGACGTCGTCGTCGTCGTCGTCGTCGTCGTGGTCGGTCCCCTGTCCGTCCCTCTTGGGGTCAGGTCGACGGTCCGCGGCCGCCCCGCCGATCAGCGCTGCCGCTGGCCAGGCCGACGGTCCGCGGCCGCCCCGCCGCTTGCAGGGGCTTGGCCTGCAGGGAAGGAGGTATACCCCCCAAAAGGGGTTCGATCGAAGACGAAGAGGGCGGGTATCGAGGGTTTGGGAAATACGCGTTATTGGACACTCGAGCATATAAGGGCGAACAGTCTTAAAATTATGGTTGTTGTTGTTGTCGTTGTAGTCAGGGGCTCAACAACCCAGTTTGGTGACACCTCGCCACTCCTTGCCAAAAACACAGTGTCCGAACGCCAGGGGGAGCTTGCTCATGGGAATTCGCTTGGCGAAGAACCCAACCATATGCAGCTGTGAGTATCGCAGTTGTGGGTATCGTCTTCCGTGGAGCTCCCTCTGGGGCCGCGACGCGTTGTGCTTGGCTGGGAGCCGCAGATTCGGTCGGCGGGGACCCGCATGCGAACCCTGCTGCCGGGGCCCTTGGTGGAGCTCCTTACGGGGCCACGAACCGTGTGAGGGGTGTGCCGGAATGGACGCGTGGTGGGCGGGGAGCCGCATGCGAGCCCTGCCATTGGGGGCCTTCGGTGGAGTTCCATGTGCGGCCACGAACCGTGTGAGGGGTGTGCCGAAATGGACCTGGGGTGGGCGGGGAACCGCATGCGAACCCTGCTGCCGGGGCCCTTGGTGGAACTCACTTTGGGGCCACGAACCGTGTGAGGGGTGTGCCGGCATGGACGTTTCTTTTTCCAAGGCACCTCAACAGTTCCAGCCCGCATGGCACATCGCCTTCGCAAGCCTCCTGCAGGCCTTGCTTCTAGGTGCCACGACGCCAGAGTGGTCTAAGACCTCTGGGAGAGGCCCCACAAACTCTGGGAGAGCCCCGTGGCGAGCCTCCAGAGTCTCTGAGAGAAGCTTCTGTGCTTGGGCCCCTAGGATTTCGACCCTTTCCGGGGGGTCGGCGCTTTTGCGTCGGCGGCTTTCTGATGGCGCCGGGGCTCGTCGTCGTCGTCGTCGTCGTCGTCGTCGTCGTCGTCGTCGTCGTCGTCGTCGTCGTCGTCGTCATTGCCGCCGTCGCCACCGCCGCCGCCGTCGCCGCCGCCGCCACCGTCGTTTTCGTCGTTGTCGTTCTCCTCCTCTTTCTCCTCCTCGTCCTCCTCCTCCTCCTCCTCCTCCTCCTCCTCCTCCTCTCTGTGTTTTTCCTCCGACGAAGTTTGTCGCTGCCGTCTCTTCGGGGGTCCCCCACGGCCTCCAGAGCGTGACGACGACCACGACGACGACGACGGCGGCGGTGGCGGCAGCGGCGGCTGCGGCGGCGGTGGCGACGGGGACGACGCCACGCTCCAGGACACAAGTGAATGCGAGGTCGCGCGGAACAGGCACGAGAGCGCAAAAGCTAATTCAGGGTGTCCATTGTCCGCCAATAATATTTGCTTATTGGCCACGGTTCAACAGGGATTCGGGAAGCCTCAGGGCCTCCTGGGAGTCTTGAGTACAAGCGGAGGCAGTATCGAGTGGGAGCTTCGGGGGTCCTGAGGCGGGAGCGCCTGTTCTGAGATTCAAGACAAGGAAATATCGATGGGGGTGCGCCAGTTGTTTTGGAAAGGCTGCTTTGGGTGGCGAGCGAACGCCCTGGCCCCGAGTGAAAGGTTATGAAAGGAGGAAGTATCGAGCCGGAGCGTTGTCGTCGTTGGGGGGCCGGTTTTGGCGCAACCCCGAAACGCGTGAGCGTAGGCCTAACTTCCAAAAAGAATGCAAGCAACGCCTAGGCAAGAGCGCGAAATTGCATTGAGGGTGTCCAGCGATAGTAGTCGTTGAGTAATTAAAGTTCAGCAAGAGGCTCCAACTTCATACTTCCTCGCGACTGATTGCCAAGTCGTGCTCGCGCGCAAGATTTCCATACCATGTATGCAGCAATCGCACTTTCGCGTGGGACATCATCTTACTTCGTTTTTCGCCATTCATGCAGGGCGCACGCTTCAGTAAGCCGTCTGCTCGACCTGGCCGCTTGGGCCCGCTTGCCCGACCCGCCTGTTAGGGTCTACCCGCCCACTCTGCCCGTCTGGTTCCGTCGCGTGTTTTCTGCTCCTGGCTTCCCTCCAGCTACTCTCTCCCGTACTCCATCCTCCTCGCCCCCCCTGGCCCGTTCCGTCCATCCGTCTTTTTTCCCCGTGCTTTCGGGGCTGCGCGAACTACGCGTGGCAGCTGAAGGAGATCTACACCCAATGGGGGCACAATCGAGAAGGAGGAGGGCGGGGATCGAGGGCTTGGGATATGCGTGTTGGAAACGCACGTGGGCAGGTCAGAGCGAACATTTTTTATAATATATAAAAAATAGTATTATTCGTTGCGGTTGTTTTTGTTGTTTTTTTGTTGTTTAGGTTTTTTTGTGTTCTTTGTTGTTGTTATTGTTTTCGTTTTTGTGTTGTTCGTATTATTATTCTTCTTCGTTTTCTTGTTGTTGTTGTTGTTGTTGTTGTTGTTGTTGTTGTTGTTGTTGTTTTTTTGTTGTTACGTTTATTATTGTTTTTGGTTTTGTTTGATTTGTTGTTGTTGTTTGTTTTTGGTTGCAGTGCCCTCTGCAGTCGACACCGATGCTAAGTTTGGGCCGCCTGCCCAAAGGGTACCTCTGCAGCCCCTGCATCCTCGTCGGCCTATCCTTCACCACTTTTGACGGCCAGCCTCGCTCGACACGTTACGACAGGGGCGTCCCCAGCGGCTTTTGCATCCTTGTCGCTCATCCTTGTTCGCATTTTGGACTGCCGTTTCTGCTGCGCGTCGTCTTTGCCTCTGCGGCCTCTGGCGCCCGCTCCTGGCCGGCGCCGCCGCCCGCTCTTGGCCGGCGCCACGCCGCCCCCAGGCGCCCGAGGAGACCGGGAGCGCCGATGGCCAGAAACAGAGGACGGCCGGCCGCCGCGCGCGGTGCGGGGAGGGGGTGCCGGGGCCACCATGCCCCCCGTCGGTTGGTCGTTGAAAGTAGGTTTGAGCAGTGGCGGAGCGTCTTGGCTCGCTTATAGGCTCACCAAAGATGTTCTAAGAACCTTTTCTTGTTTGCGCGACATGTTCTTAGAAGGTTCCTGGCTGGGACTGTCTTGTTTAATACATGATTTTTATGTTCTAGGAACAATGTTGTTGTTCTCATAACATTTCTGGGTTCTACGAACATGTCGTGGCAGGCCTACAGGAATGCGGGGACGGTCGGTCCCTGCTCAACAGGGGCAACCATACCAGTCGACCAGTCGTTGAAAGTATGTATTGGGCTGGCCTCCGGCCAGTGCCGCCGATCCGGGGGGGGGTGAGAGCGAAATGATGATGGGGATCCTGGGGACGTCTTGGAAGCTTTGGAGCCGTCTTGGGGGCATCTTGAGCGGCTCGGAGCGCTGTTTCGGCGAGTCGGGGCCCTCTTGGACCGTCTAGGGGGCCTCTTGGGCCTCTCTTGGCTTTTTCTTGGGCCGTCTTGTGCGGTCTGGGCTCTGGACTTGGGTCGTCATGTGGCGCTCCTGGGCCGTCTTGGGCCCTTCGGGGGCCGTCTTGGAGCCCTCTTGGAGGCCTGTTGGCGTGTTTTAGGGAGCTCTGGGACCGTCTTGGACACTGTGAAGGCCCAAGAAACGAATATGCCGAACATATACGTTTTCCCAAGGGAATGGGTGTATTTGCCAGTCTTTGGGCATTCTTGGGAAGTGTCGTGAGGGATCCTGGGGACGTCTTGGAGGTTTCTGGAACTGCCTTCGGGGCATCTTGGGCGGTTCGAGCGATGTTTCGGCGATTCGGGGCCCTCTGACATTGTCTAGGGGGCCTCTGGGGCCTCTCTTGGCTTCTTCTTGGGATGTCTTGGGCGGTCGGGGCTCCGGAAATTGAGTTTTCTTACCCCCCCTGTCCCGGGTACCGAAAAACGCCCGAAATGACGTCGGACAGATCCCCGTGTACCAACAAACGTCGGAACTGACGTCGGAAATAACGTGCCCCCCCCTCCCCCTGCAGAGCGAAGCTTGAGCGAGCTCAAGTCCACGCTCTCAGAAACTCATACGTCGGATCGGTGGATTTGTGGAGTCCCAGATTCCAATCCTACTTTGAGCGCCCTGCTACTTCAGTGATCGTGTGGCTTCACCTTTTCCGTCCTCTTCAGGGGGCGGGCGGAGTCTTTTCATGCTTTGACATGCTTTTTTCCGACGGATGGGTAAGGGGGATGGGCACATGTCGGCGGCGGGCGAGGGGGGGAAATGAGAAGGATTTAACTCTTCAGAAGGCGGCGGGGCTTGCCCTGGCGCCTTCTGAAAAGTTCCGTTTTTGTCTTCGGGGAAGGCTTCGAAGTCTTCGCAGAAGGCGGGGGGACTTCCGAGCCTTCTTACAAGGCCTTTTCCTTCTCATTTCCCCCCTTCGACTGTCGCCAAACATGGGGGGATGTATCGCCGATAAGAGGGCCGATAGTAGCCCACCCCCGACTAGGAAGGTTGCGATTTCACTATCGGGGGCCCATCGCCGATCTATCGGCGACGTATCGTCGATTCCAGGTCGATGTTCCCCCCCCTCTGCCAGTTCCCCCCTGTCATTGCCCCCCCCCAGGGGTGCGGGGGGAACCCGCCTGCTCGGGGGGCGCGCGGACCTTCGGAAGTTTGCGTTCGTGCTATTCTCCTTCCTCCTAAATCGCTGGTTCTTGGATGTTTGTCGTCTCGCCCTGCGGGGGGCCCACGGGGTTGGTGATCGTCTCGGGAGCCTCCCTGTGGCCCACCTTTCCCTAGCAGCTGCGTCTCGCCGAGGGCGCTCCAGGGGTGCCCCGAACGGACGCCACCGTAGGGGTTCGCTCGGCTGCGAACGTCCCTCCGACGCCGTCTGCCCGGCGATCGCGCCTCGAGGGCCGGGGATCGAGGCTCGAGGCTCGGGGCTCTGGGATCGAGGGCCGAGTTTCGATGGTGGTCTCACCTGGGTTGAAGTCGGGCGTGTCCCTTTCTACAGGGGGAGCATTCAAACATAGTCAAAAACAGCAATAGTCTGGGGACAATGTTTTGCGACACTGTTTATTAGTACTGTTACTTTTATTTTCACGATTACTTATTGACATGATTATTCTTTTTCGTATATGTATTATTGTTATGTATCGTGTTATTCTTATTAGTATTATTTTTATTTTTTTATTAATTGTTGTATTATTATTATTATTATTACTATCATTAGTATTATACTTAATATTACAATTATTATTAGTATTATTATACATCATAACCGTATGTTTCTTAGTATTATTTTCGTTTTATCATTCGTATGTCTAGCATTTTTGTTATATTCACATATTATATATAACCACACGCGACACAAACACAACAACACACAAAAAACGTCCAAGCGGCGGCGGCCGCCCGCTTCGCGCGCGCGCGCGCCCTCGCGAGCGAGCGCCGCAGACCGCCCCCTCGCCGCCTGGGCGCGCTGCGTGCGGCAGGGCCCCTCCTCTCTGGGGGCAACGTTCGTCAAGGGCTTAACGACTTCTGCCTGTCCTTCGACTCGCGCTAGAGCGGCCGCGAGTTGCTCCAACTCTCCCTGGAGAGCTCTGGATTTACCTGGGTTTACCCGGATTTATCTCGATTTGCCTGGGTTCGTCTCGACGTCTCTGCATTTGCCTGGATTTGTTTGGCTCGATCTCCACAAGTCGACTGGCGAAAAGTCGAGAAGCCCTTAGGGAAATGTCGGGGGCTGACGGGCGCAGGGGCCGGAGGAGGAACATTCGATGTCTGTTCATGGGAGCCTTGGGCGGCGACTCTGAAATCACCTTTTCCTGCATTTGGACCGCGTAGGGACCACATTTGGCGCATCCTCCTGCTCCTCATCTCCCCTCCTGTTCCCCCTCCTCCTCGTTCTTCAAGTCCCCGCGAATCGGGTCCAAAGCTGGTCCAAACTTGTTCCAAATCCGGTCCAAACCGTGCCCAAATCGGACAGCGCCCATGCAACGGACACCAAAGGAACAGGCACCCATGCAGGGGAGGCCCATGCCAAGAAACACCCTGCTTGCCTCCAGGGTGCCCTGGGTTTCTTGGGCTTCGATGGTCTCCCAGACCCCCTCGAGGAATGACAAAAATCATGACGGGATGTGTTTCGCCGTTTTCAGTCTTTGGGGCCCGTACCTGGCCTCGGGACCGTCAAGACACCGACTCGGGGTGACACACTGGCCCTGGGGACTGGGTCGAAGTCCCCAGGGGTCGACGTCATGGAACAATCATGGCTTTCGATGGTTTTGCGATGGAGAGCGCGGCGTTGGGGGTCCTGGGGTCTCAGGGTTGGGTTTCTTGCGGAAGGTCTCTTGTGAACTGGCCTCCACGGTACTGCCACCCTTCCCTCGTTTCCCCCTTAGGGGGCCTCCTGGGAGGCCCTCGTCGCCACCGCTGGACTCGCCTCGAAATCCGGGTCAGAACGCGCCCCGGGAGAGGTCTGGGGAGTAGCGGTGATTGGACCTTCTGGTTTCCTCACGGAGGGTGTTACCAGCCTGGAACATATCCCTATCCCTATGCTGGGCACCTCCTCATCACGATGCCAATCTTCGGGATTCCCTTATCTTTTGAGGGCGAATCCCTAAGATTGTCATCGCCTTTTGGCGTGTCAATCTTAGGGATAGGGATACGTTCGAGGTTGGTAAGGGTGGGCCTGAGACTCTGGCCTTGCCGTCTTCGGTTTCCAGGCGTTCTCGCTCGGATTCGGGCCCAGGGGCCCTGGCGGATTGATCCATCCAGCTCGAGAAAGGGCGCATGATGGGGTCCAGGGCTCTGGTCGTGCCTCTTCGCGAGGTTGCAATTTTTCAACAGCGTTGGATCGTAGGGGCGGGTGCATCTACCCCCCCACCGCCCAGTGATCGCCGATGCACATGGGGCCCAGGATCCCGCCCCCGCCCGGGATCGTGCGGTGTCTCTTTCCGGGGGTCGATCACCGATCGATCGGCGATGTGTCGCCGATTCCAGGCGAGCGATGGAAGAAAACGGATTCGGCTGCGCGGACATTCGCGCGTAAGCTTCCCGCGTTAGGTCGCGCGTGAGCGCGCTCGTTTCATAGTGGCGTGCCGCGCAGGCGGCCGCGTAACCTGCCGTGTGAGGTCGCTATGCATTCTCGCGTAAGGCCCGCTCCTTTCCGTCGCCCAGGAGGCAGTTTTTCTTCATCCCCTGGCGATAACGGGAGTGACTGGGGGGGCTGGGGACGGAACCGGGGGGGAGCCAGACGGGGCTAGGACGAGGATGAATCCGTTCCAGGGCGTCCCAGAAAGTCCCTAGAGCGTTCGGGACCGTTCTGAGAAGGCCGCGGCGTCCGGGACACATTTCTCCTCACCCGAATTTGTCCTCGTCTTGGCTTCGTCTTAGGGGGGGCGGGGATGGTCACGGGCGTTACCGCGACAAATGAAATGGGCTCCAGGTCGATACTTCCCGCCCGATCCCCCCCTAACCCAGCCACGCGCAGAGGGGGCTAGGGGGGAGGGGGAGGGCTTCCTGGAAGTACCCCGGCTCCTTAGAGAACGCGGGCCTTGTCTGTAGTTGTAGGGCCCGCGCCTTCTAAGAAGCAGCCTCCTTCTAAGAAGATTTCCGCCCTCCCCCTATCCTTGTGCGCGCCGCCAGAGGTCGATGTTTTCCGCCCTAGGCCTCGGGGGAAGCAGAAGCGACACCACCACCACCACCACCACCACCACCACCACCACCACCACCACCACCACCACCAGGTGGGTCACCTCAAGCGATTAGGGCCACGATGCCTCCCAGAGCTGGGGATAGGGGATGTCTCGAGAGAGAGTGTGGGACCATACAACCAGGGGGACCCCCCCCTGGCTCCTCCCTCTCGTGGTCCCTGGTGGAGTTGGTTTCGTTTGTCCTTCTTCCTGCCAGGTCGGTGCTTACCGCCTATTGGCCTTTCCGGATTGGTAGGGCGACCCTTCC